GAGTGATTGGTGGGTGAGAAGTAAAGGGGGTTTTATAAAAAGAGAAAAAGGTGTTTCGGAGGGGTTTTTTCAAAGCAGAAAGGGTTTTAAGAAGAGCAAGTATATGGAGGTAAAAGAAAGGGAAAAGAGGGGGAGAGAGTGCAAAAGGAGAGCAATGAAAAAATGGGGGAGGCATTGTCAAAAATTTTAATAAAAAAAAAAAAATTTTTTTTTGGGGTGAGTTTTAAACAAGTTAAGAAAAACCTAGGGAAAATTGGATTTGCAGTTAAAAACAGAGAGGGGAGTTAGTAGATGGGAGATGGAGGATTGGGGAGATGGCGAGAATATTTGAGGAACTTTTAAATGTTTAGGAAGAAAAGGGGGCGGGAATTTCATGCACTGGCAGGGGGGTTTAAACCCTCTTTTTGGAGTGAAGAAGAGCAGAAAATAATTGGGGAGGTACTGAGGGGTTACGTACAATGAAAGGGGGTTTAAAAAAGTGGAACGATGGGATCAGACAAAATGTTTTAAAACAGGGGGGGAGTATGTTGGAGGGTTGGTACTTTTTTTAAAAAATGATGAAAGAGGGGAAGGACCAAGGGATTGGCGGAGAGCATTTTATCCCTTTTATAAAAGGGGAAAGGGACAAAGAGATTGTAAAAAATTTTAGAGGAATAAGTTTACTGAGTATACCCCGGGGAAAAGTATACGGTAGGGGTTTAATTTAAAGAATTGAGGTAAGAAAAATTAGGATTTCGGATGGAGGGAGGCTTCAAGTGGGTAGGGGATTTTAGATCAAGTGTTTACATTAAGCATATATTGAACGTATTTAATAAAGGTAGGGAAGTTTTTATTTCAATTTATGGATTTAGAAAAGGATTGATAGAGTGGGTAGAGGACAATGTGCAGATGTTTCAAGTAATGGGAAAGGGGTAAGTTACTAAAAGCCCGTAAAGGCTTTTTGAATAGTGAGGGTCAGGTTAGGGGATGAAAGAAGGGAAATACTTCCGTAAAAGTAGGGCTTAGACAGGGGGTGTAATGTCACCATGGTTGTTTAATATTTTTAAAATGGGGTTGTAAAGGAATAAATGCAGGGGTTCGGAGAGGGGTGGGGTTAAATTTTTTGGGGGAAAACAAAATTTAAAATGGGGAAATGACACAGTTACTTTTTGGGTGATGAACTGTGCTTATGGGGATCTAAAGAAAAATTACAAACTTTGTGGATAGTTTGAGAAAGTGTGTAAAGGGAGAAGTTGAAAGAGAACATAAAAAGAGTAAGGTATGGGGTTCAAATGATTTAGTAAAAAAAAAATTGGATATCAAATTGTGGAGGAGGAGTATGGAAAAATGAATTTTTCAGAACTTGGGGGTTGCGTGCCCGGGGGTGGGTTTATGAAGGATGGGTTTAAACATAGAAATTTATGAGAGAAAAAGGTGAGTGGTGCGTTGAGGTATATGTGGAGTCAAAAAAACGTTATCTATGGAGGCAAAGAAGGGAATGTATGAAAGTATAGTAGTACGAACACTCTTATATGGATGTGAAGCTTAGGTGGTAAATGCAGCAGTGGTTGGAGGCAGTGGAGATGTCCTGTCTAAGGGCAATGTGTGGTGTAAATATTATGCAGAAAATTCGGAGTGTGGAAATTAGGAGGTGTGGAGTTAATAAAAGCATTAGTCAGAAGGCAGAAGAGGGGTTGTTGAGGTGGTTTGGTCATTTAGAGAGAATGGATCAAAGTAGAATGACATGGAAAGCATAAATCTAAATGGGAAGGAAGGAGGGGTAGGGGTCGTCCTCGAAAGGGTTGGAAAGAGGGGGTAAAGGAGGTTTTGTGGGCAAGGGGCTTGGACTTCCAGCAAGCGTGCATGAGCGTGTTAGATAGGAGTGAATGGAGACGAATGATACTTGGGACCTGACGATCTGTTGGAGTGTGAGCAGGGTAATATTTAGTGAAGGGATTCAGGGAAACCGGTTATTTTCATATAGTCGGACTTGAGTCCTGGAAATGGGAAGTACAATGCCTGCACTTTAAAGGAGGGGTTTGGGATATTGGCAGTTTGGAGGGATATGTTGTGTATCTTTATATGTATATGGTACTAAACTGTTGTATTCTGAGCACCTCTGCAAAAGCAGTGATAATGTGTGAGTGTGGTGAAAGTGTTGAATGATGATGAAAGTATTTTCTTTTTGGGGATTTTCTTTCTTTTTTTGGGTCACCCTGCCTCGGTGGGAGACGACCGACTTGTTGAAAAAAAAAAATTGTTTATAGCTGTCTGTCAGTTTGTGTATGTTGGAGGGCGGGACTGACAGCCACAGTAGAAACTAAGACAGCCATTCATAACACAGATATGTCATTACTTGACCACAGTTGCTATGGAAATGCAGGAGCGTCTGAAATGCAAATTATCCTAATTTAAATTTTGTACAGAGTGTATGAAACATTTGCTATTCAGTTCAATCTCACGTAGGTCTAATACCGGACTAGATAAATGAATAATAAATAACAAAGATTAATAATAGAGAGGATGAACATAAGGATCGTTCATTTACCATGAAATCCTATCCCATCAGCTGTCTCATCACTTCCGAAGACATCACAGCTGAGTGAAACACCGACTGAGATATCCGCAAAGGTTGGAAGTGACCTTATCCAAGTCTATAAAGGCTTTCCGTCTGGCATATCTGCGGTCACATGACAATCACGTATTTATCTATGTATATAATATATTTGTATATTAAATAAAATACCATCATCTTACAATAACATTATATAACCTGCAGAATTTGACAGAAAGAGGCCATAAAGCGGTGTTTGTACTCTGTATGCAAGAGTCTTACTACTGCTTACTGCTGTGTTGAGTCATCGTTACTGCTGTGTTGAGTCATCTTTACTGCTGTGTTGAGTCATCGTTACTGCTGTGTTGAGTCATCTTTACTGCTGTGTTGAGTCGTCTTTACTGCTGTGTTGAGTCATCGTTACTGCTGTGTTGAGTCATCGTTACTGCTGTGTTGAGTCATCGTTACTGCTGTGTTGAGTCATCGTTACTGCTGTGTTGAGTCATCGTTACTGCTGTGTTGAGTCATTGTTACTGCTGTGTTGAGTCATTGTTACTGCTGTGTTGAGTCATCGTTACTGCTGTGTTGAGTCATCGTTACTGCTGTGTTGAGTCATTGTTACTGCTGTGTTGAGTCATCGTTACTGCTGTGTTGAGTCATCGTTACTGCTGTGTTGAGTCGTCTTTACTGCTGTGTTGAGTCATCGTTACTGCTGTGTTGAGTCATCTTTACTGCTGTGTTGAGTCGTCTTTACTGCTGTGTTGAGTCATCGTTACTGCTGTGTTGAGTCATCGTTACTGCTGTGTTGAGTCATCGTTACTGCTGTGTTGAGTCATCGTTACTGCTGTGTTGAGTCGTCTTTACTGCTGTGTTGAGTCATCGTTACTGCTGTGTTGAGTCATCTTTACTGCTGTGTTGAGTCATCGTTAATGCTGTGTTGAGTCATCGTTACTGCTGTGTTGAGTCATCGTTACTGCTGTGTTGAGTCATCGTTACTGCTGTGTTGAGTCATCTTTACTGCTTTGTTGAGTTATCGTTACTGCTGTGTTGAGTCATCTTTACTGCTGTGTTGAGTTATCGTTACTGCTGTGTTGAGTCATCTTTACTGCTGTGTTGAGTCATCGTTACTGCTGTGTTGAGTCATCGTTACTGCTGTGTTGAGTCATCTTTACTGCTGTGTTGAGTCATCGTTACTGCTGTGTTGAGTCATCGTTACTGCTGTGTTGAGTCATCGTTACTGCTGTGTTGAGTCATCGTTACTGCTGTGTTGAGTCATCGTTACTGCTGTGTTGAGTCATCTTTACTGCTGTGTTGAGTCATCGTTACTGCTGTGTTGAGTCATCGTTACTGCTGTGTTGAGTCATCGTTACTGCTGTTTTGAGTCGTCTTTACTGCTGTGTTGAGTCATCGTTACTGCTGTGTTGAGTCATCGTTACTGCTGTGTTGAGTCATCGATACTGCTGTGTTGAGTCATCGTTACTGCTGTTTTGAGTCGTCTTTACTGCTGTGTTGAGTCATCGTTACTGCTGTGTTGAGTCATCGTTACTGCTGTGTTGAGTCATCGTTACTGCTGTGTTGAGTCATCGTTACTGCTGTGTTGACTCATCGTTACTGCTGTGTTGAGTCATCGTTACTGCTGTGTTGAGTCATCGTTACTGCTGTGTTGAGTCATCGTTACTGCTGTGTTGAGTCATCGTTACTGCTGTGTTGAGTCATCTTTACTGCTGTGTTGAGTCATCGTTACTGCTGTGTTGAGTCATCGTTACTGCTGTGTTGAGTCATCGTTACTGCTGTGTTGAGTCATCGTTACTGCTGTGTTGAGTCATCGTTACTGCTGTGTTGACTCATCGTTACTGCTGTGTTGAGTCATCGTTACTGCTGCGTTGAGTCATCGTTACTGCTGTGCTGAGTCATCGTTACTGCTGTGTTGAGTCGTCTTTACTGCTGTGTTGAGTCATTGTTGATATTTTTGTTGTATTAACTGCATTTATGTTGCTTCAACATTAATGGAAGTATTTTCAAATACATTAGCTTCAAAAAAATGAATTTATTGAAAATGATTATTAATTTATTAATAATAGGAAATCTCTATTCAAAATTTTCAATGTTTAAGAATTTAAGTAAATTATGTAAAGCTGTGGTCCCTTAAGAAAGAGAGGGGAATAATAGAGTCAGTAATTGGGTAAGCAGTCTTTTTGGGTTCGTCCAGGAACATCATGGTCTATAGGGAATCAAAACATATATTTTCTGTTACCAGTTTGTGGGTTAGCTGTGAATTGTTCCACTTATTGCAATGTAACTATTGTTTTTGGATACTTCTAGTCACGCTACTGTGACTTGTTCTTCTAAAGTAAGTTTGATGAATTTAGAAGATATTGGAAAAGGAATATAAATTATATAACAATTAAATAAAAATAATACTTGACATTTATTTATAATAAATTGTGTGTGTGATGCTTGCTGGCAGAGTGATCAACAAAGTGGGGCACCTCCAGTGGACCAAGGATGGTTTTGGACTTGGTACCGAGCGAGATCTTTTTGGCTTCTCCCGATACGCCATGATTGGTTCTGACGACGAAGGTAAGTGTGTCAACCTACTTCTTACCTCGTATACTCGGAAAAATTACTAACAGACTGATTTTTTTCCAGGATTCTCTTATAATGGCAGTGTAAACGGCTGATAAATTAGACGCATGTGCAGCATTTGGGTATCTTTAATGAGGAAACGTTTCCCCACACAGTGGCTTCATCAGTCCATACAAAGGAGAATGGTGAAGAACAGGAGGAGTTTGAGGTAGTCAGTGTTAACACTGAGTCAAAGTCCAAGAACATTTTGAAATACAAAATGAAAATGTTGACAGATTCATAGCTTTTCTCCCAGGTATTAAAAAAATAATGTATAAATCATCGAAATTGATGTGTTTGACCATAAGAAATTAATATATTTACACTCTTAAGAGTGTCAGACATAATTTCTACGACAAAATAATACCAGTTTCTGGGTGGTTCAGAATTAAGGATGTGCCTTGATCTGAATTTTTTTGAAATTTCCTTTCAATATTGTATCATACTGGATTAATTTTGCATTATCTACTGTGAAAATACGGCACTGAAGTATGTTGCTACCGTGGAAAATAAAGGCTTAGTGACACTTGTACACTAGAGTAAAGCAGGCGATAATGGACTCTGTGAGATTTGTCAAGGGTTGACCAGATCATTGAAGGTGCGTATTACCTGCAGATCGAACTATACGATTCTTGTAGTATCCCGATCTGTGATTCACTTGAGGTATTCAGAGAGATCAAAGACATAGTACTTCATCCCAATAACACGAAGACCTACGAACCAGCAGCGCAGCTAGAGATCCAGAGATACAATACACTGAAACTTTTTTGCTTGAAGGCTATTAGAATATTCAACTTCTGCCTACACTGACTGTGAATATCTTGTTTCAGTCTCAACCTGCATGGATACTGAGAATTAAACTCCAATGAAGCGATGTTATTACAATCCAGGGACAATAAGGCCTGATATCCTGGGTGTAAAGGGGAGCAAGGAGCAAAACAAACAGCTGAATGACTTTGAAATAAATTTTTCTTCACCAAGAGCAATGTGGATGTTTACGCATATATACACTATATACAGTTGGAAATGTATTTCTAGAACACGGTTAAGGCAAAGTCAAGACACATCCTGGAGACAGAACAGACAACCGTGCTCAACCAGCTCTAGTATGGAAATGACAAGGGTAGACAGGTGGGTGGTGCCCTCAACGCCTCTACGATTGCCAGACCCACCTTCTCATTGGCTGAAACTGGGTACTGATCGAACGATGGGGGCCTCATCGTTCGACCCTAGTACTGGTTCGCTGGTTGGGGAGATAGCCTTCCAATGAGGGTATGTACATGCGCCAAATAAAGGTTACGTACTCTTTGCATGCCACAGGTGTCTTTGGTATGACTGTAGCTTATGTAGTGTGGAGGACAAATGCCTGGCTGATGGAAGTCATAGTCTCAAAGCTCGGGTATCCATTATGTGTCAACAAACACCATTAAATTAAGAGGACATGATGCTGAAGCCAGTCCAACATGGTTCTTTTCATGCGCTTAACATGTTTCATTAAATTCTCCACTGATTTGGAGGCTGCTGAGACAGCTCGTAGAGTTGTCTCAGCAGCCTCTCTCGTGCTGACATTGGGTTAGTGAGAAAAGTCAGTAAAAACATACTTTCAGGGATACATCCATGACAGCCAAAGCTGTGGAGGAACAGCGCCGTGCTGTGCAGTGTACATCATTAGATAAATAATTTTTTAAACCATGTACCACATCAGACGTACTATTTGAAAGATCAATAAAAAAGACCATAAGAACAAGTCCTGACCAACTTCCCTACACTGGACCGTCAAAACAGTGGGATTGTAGTGAAACTTCGTAAGATCGACGCTGATTTCATATTATCAACGGCACTCAATACACTCACTAAAACTAAGTGGCTAGAAATTGCAGCTGGAATAGACACACACATTTTAGGGACGGTGTCACAATCTTTCCCAAATGTAAACACCCAAATGTTCTCCAGCCGAAAAACAATCCAACTCTACAGTATTTAGGAAATGCAATCAGCCAATTCCAAAGTCGAATACCATCTCATGTTTGTGCATGGTATCAGTGGCTGCGACACAAAGCTGTCATGTACATAAAAAAAAATTAAGCACAGTAGATAGTATCATCTTTGGCAAAGTACTGGATGCGATGAAACCAATTACGTTACCACACAGGAACCAGGAAGACATAGTAAGAGCAGGGGAAGCGTTTATCCTTCTGTTATATAGATCAGAGAGAGCATAGTCACTGGATGAATAGTGCCACATCATGTACAATCCATCACCCAGTAAAGTATGTTAATCCTCTACGTTAAAGATGGAATCACTGCCTCCTATAAGCGCAATAACCAAACTCCATTCATACCGCACCAGTTACACTGTACAACAGTAGATTGACAATGAAACATTTTCCTTGAAATGGGGATGGAAAGCGACTGGCGCACTGGAAGTCACAGAGACAGGTAACCACTTGTCCAATGCAACGTGCTGCGTATGATATCATGCAGCTGCAAAATCGGGTGAGAATGGTCTTACTGACACCGATAGTGACGGGTTAAAGAGCTCAGCTATGTGCAGTCAGTTCCAGGGACTTTCATGCTCTAACATACAAGTTAATTCTGATATATCTGGTATGCTTGAAACTTAGCCAAGTGTTATGTAATCTATGTAGAGGGAGAGGAAACACACAGACGTCATGCGCTTAACAGTTTCCATCAGACGAGTCCACTGAATGAACCACAACAATCACGTGATCATGAAGATAATTACTGAAGGTGTCAGTTTCATGACTTAATCACATTTAACAATGGCGTTGTGAATACATTTACACATTTTATACAAATTATATTCATTAAGCTTTTTAAATACTGTACATTAACTGTTGTTATTTTTTTCACTTGGATAATGTGTCATATATTTAACTTATTGTAATTTAATTTATTTTTTTCTAATCTACTTTACTTATTCTAATTTACTTTATTTATTTTAATTTACTTTACTTACTGTAATTTAATCTTCATTAGAGAAATTATGATATTTTAAACATTTACACCAAAATATTAACGTCGATATAAATGTTTGGAGTCAACATTAGAGTTCATAAATGAATTCCACATGGACCGCAAGTCTATATACACAGGCACTACACTAGTCTATATACACAGGCACTACACGAGTCTATATACACAGGCACTACACGAGTCTATATACACAGGCACTACACGAGTCTATATACACAGGCACTACACGAGTCTATATACACAGGCACTACACGAGTCTATATACACAGGCACTACACGAGTCTATATACACAGGCACTACACGAGTCTATATACACAGGCACTACACTAGTCTATATACACAGGCACTACACGAGTCTATATACACAGACACTACACGAGTCTATATACACCGACACTACACGAGTCTATATACACAGGCACTACACTAGTCTATATACACAGGCACTACACAAGTCTATATACACAGGCACTACACGAGTCTATATACACAGACACTACACGAGTCTATATACACAGACACTACACTAGTCTATATACACAGGCACTACACAAGTCTATATACACAGGCACTACACGAGTCTATATACACAGACACTACACGAGTCTATATACACAGACACTACACTAGTCTATATACACAGGCATTACATAGTCTATATACACAGGCACTACACAAGTCTATATACACAGGCACTACACGAGTCTATATACACAGACACTACACGAGTCTATATACACAGACACTACACTAGTCTATATACACAGGCACTACACTAGTCTATATACACAGGCACTACACAAGTCTATATACACAGGCACTACACAAGTCTATATACACAGGCACTACACGAGTCTATATACACAGACACTACACTAGTCTATATACACAGGCACTACACTAGCTATATACACAGGCACTACACGAGTCTATATACACAGGCACTACACTAGTCTATATACACGGGACACTACACGAGTCTATATACAAGGCACTACACTAGTCTATATACACAGGCACTACACAAGTCTATATACACAGGCACTACACTAGTCTATATACACAGGCACTACACAAGTCTATATACATAGGCACTACACTAGTCTATATACACAGGCACTACACAAGTCTATATACACAGGCACTACACTAGTCTATATACACAGGCACTACACAAGTCTATATACACAGGCACTACACGAGTCTATATACACAGGCACTACACAAGTCTATATACACAGGCACTACACAAGTCTATATACACAGACACTACACAAGTCTATATACACAGACACTACACAAGTCTATATACACAGACACTACACGAGTCTATATACACAGACACTACACAAGTCTATATACACAGGCACTACACTAGTCTATATACACAGGCACTACTCGAGTCTATATACACAGGCACTACACAAGTCTATATACACAGACACTACACAAGTCTATATACACAGACACTACACGAGTCTATATAAACAGGCACTACACAAGTCTATATACACAGACACTACACAAGTCTATATACACAGACACTACACAAGTCTATATACACAGACACTACACGAGTCTATATACACAGGCACTACACAAGTCTATATACACAGGCACTACACTAGTCTATATACACAGGCACTACACAAGTCTATATACACAGGCACTACACTAGTCTATATACACAGACACTACACTAGTCTATATACACAGGCACTACACAAGTCTATATACACAGGCACTACACTAGTCTATATACACAGACACTACACTAGTCTATATACACAGGCACTACACTAGTCTATATACACAGGCACTACACTAGTCTATATACACAGACACTACACGAGTCTATATACACAGGCACTACACTAGTCAAAATACACAGGCACTACACTAGTCTATATACACAGACACTACACGAGTCTATATACACAGGCACTACACTAGTCTA